TTTGATGCAGTTGTAAATTGGATTGTTTTCTTAATCTCTCTTTCTGATAATTCATTGTTAGTGTATAGAAATGCAACAGATTTCTGTATATTAATTCTGTATCCTGCAACTTTACTGAATTCATTTATTAGTTCTAATAGTTTTTTGGTGGTATCTTTAGGATTTTCCATATATAGCATCACATCATGTCATCTGCAAACAATGACAGTTTTACTTCCTCTTTTCCAATTTGGATTCCTTTTATTTCTTTATCTTGTCTGATTGCTGTGACTATGACTGCCAGTACCATATTGAATAATATGATGAGAGTGGGCATCCTTGTCTTTTTCCTTATCTTAGAGAAAATACTTTCAGCTTTTCACTGTTGAGTATGATGTTAGTTGTGGGCTTATCATATATGACCTTTATTATGTTGATGTATGCTCCCTCTATACCCACTTTGTTGAGAGTTTTTATCCTTAATCGATGTTGGACTTTGTCAAAAGTTTTTTCTGCATCTATTGAGATGATCATATGATTTATATGCCTATCCTTTTAAAATCCTTAAAATATAAAATAGTTGAAAATATTTAAGTATTTTATTTGCTAAAATAATCATTTGATCACTTCTTGTTTCTTCTCTCAATTCCTCTCTGTTATACTTTTAAAGACAGATGGTATTGCATAGCTATGGATATTTGGGGGATTTGGACAGGGGGAGGTTGAGTTGAGAAAATCATTTAATTTGGATTTAGGGGAATATATTTAGGTGGTTCACTGTCAATTTGTGAACCGTTAACTTTTCTTCCATAGTGCCCCCAATGTAGGAAAGATATTAGGAATCCTGCTTCCAACTTTGCTGACTCACCTGGCAAAGCTAAAGAGCCTAGGGATGTATCATGATGTAAGTGTGTCCCATGGTACCCAGCACTGGAAGTTATGTAGACAGTGAGGGGGACAGAGGGATCAAGCATGAAAGATACACAGCTAGAATACAATTTGCTTCTATTAGCTTCCAATAATCGGAAATGCAAAATTATAAGAGAAAATGTAGGGAAAAAAGTATTATAGAAGTGTCCCAGACAGTTAATAAAAATATTGTTATTTTCTGGATTCTGTTATGTTTGTGGAACTATCATTTTTTAAAGATTTGTAAAATTTAAAAAATTATATTTTGTTCTGATTTCTTTTCTCATTCTAAATAAACATTCACTTTCTTACCCAATTTTTAAATTTAGAATTTCAAATTATTTTAAAGAGGATCCCCCAAATTGTATAAGCTTTGGACTGTACAAAAATTGGATCTTCCCCTATTTGAGTTGTAGGAGAAAGTGGGGGAGAAGGGCAGGGTCAGGGCAGGATACAGATGCTACTTAATTCTACACTTTAAGAGCAAATATATATAAAATGGAGGTTAAAATTTAAATATATAGGAGCAGAATACAAAATAAGACGTATACTTTCTAAACTACTAAAATAAGAAAAAAATCAAGCTTGATTAGTTCCACAAAAGGCAGAAAAGAAAAAAAAAGTAGTAAATAATATAAATAAAATGGCAGGAATAAATACAGTCACAATAAATATAAGTAACTTGAATCCCCCTAATAAAATAAAGTCTTAATCTAATTGGGCTTTAAAAAAAAATCCAGTCATATGCTTTTTAAAAGAGTAAAGGAAAATAGACTTTTAAATTATGTTGGAACAAACTCGTATCAGAACCACCTAGAAACTTAATATCAGAATCACCTAGAGAAGTCATTATATTAGAATCAGGGGGTGGACTTTGGGATAAAGGGCTTTCTCTATTCAGGACCCTAGAAAGTTAAGCAGAGTTGTTGGCATATCTGGGCACTGACACTTGTCATTGCTTCTGGAGAAAGAAATAGAGTACAGACGAACAGAATAGAAGGTACATTTATTTCTGCTCTTCACCATTTGCATTTTTGTACCTTTTTGAATTTAGTTTCTTCATTAATTTGTTTTGATTTTCTTACCAATTGAATGTATTGTTCACTCAAATAATACATTTAATAGAATAGTTAGGGGAAATCATCACACATTACGAATTATGTGATTTATGACAAAGGTGCAAGTCAGTGGAGGAAAGGATAATCTTTTGAATAAACTGTTATGGATCAATTGAATATTTATATGGAAAAAATTTAACCTGACCCCTTCCTCACATTATACATAATATTAACTCAAAATAGATCAAAGATCTAATGTAAAGGGTAAAACAATGAAACTTCTAGAAGAAAACATAGGGAAATACCTTCATGACCTTAAGATAGGCAATGTTTTCTTAAATACAAAAGCACAAACCATGAAAAAAGAGACTGATAAAATAGACTTCATTAAATTAAGAACTTTCATTTATCAAAAGACATTTTTAAGAGAATGAGAAAACGATACACAGAGTAGGAAAAGAAAAATATAAAATGACTATTGACAAAAAACTTACATCCAAGATATATAAGGCACCATTATAAATCAATAAGACAAAGAACTCAATTTTTTTGAAAAACGGGCAAAAGATTTGAATATGTATTTCATAAATCTAGATATCTAAATGATCAACAAGCATATGTAAAAAGATTCAGTATCATTATTTATGAGGGAAATGTAAATTAAAACCATAATCAGGTACCACTACATACTAAAATTTTCAGAATCAGATACTACTACTCTTGTACATTGCTGGTGGAGTGTAAATTGGGACAACTCCTTTGCTCCTACTGTTTCCATCTTCCCTATACCCACCAGCAAATTCTCATCCTGCCAAAAATTTCTTTGCTCATCACAAGGTGATAGATTTTTCTCACACATAGTTTTTCCTTTCCAGCTCAACTGGCAAATATTAAGCACATAATAATAGTTAATTGTATAAATCTGTACCAGCCTCCTTCCTTATCTATTCATCTTACCTTTACTTTTTGTATGTTCCTTGGCTCCTTGTTGCAAGACAAAGGGACCTGTGTTTCCTCACTTTTTAGTGGATGGGGTCTCAATCTGTCACATTCAGTTTAATAGGTAAACAGTTTATGCATTGATGAGTGAATTACTGGAGAGAGGACATATGGAGAGCTTCTCAGAAACAGAAAACTTAAAAATTTTGTCTTACTCTCAAGATGCTCAATATATACTAATTACTCTACAAGTAGGGAATGAATTTAGCATGATTATGGTCATAAAAAAGCTAATGACCAGGCTATTTAAGAAAGTTCAGTTGCTCTCACATTCTAGGCATGACTCTCCTGTTTTGTCTGTGTCATTTTCATTGTATCTCATCATATAGTAATATATTTTCTTTCTTCTATTGTAGATGCCCAGAGCAACAAATCAAAAAAGAAATCCACTTCTTTCCTCTCTTTCTCCTCACAGTCATCACACATTATAATCACTGTTTTCTATGGCCACAGATTTCCCTCTAGCTTCTCTTCAAACGTAACCTGTACTCTTCCAACCTTTTCTCTCCATAGCAGTCCTACAGTCAAATCAGAGTTTTCAGGAGTTAGTGTTACCTCTTGGTCTCAGTGCTTTCAAAATTCACTTTCAGGAAAAATAATTGATAGAGAATTCACTTTTTTCCACAGGTAACTGCTTTAAGGAATTACTGTTTAAAATGCAAACAAATGAATTTCTAATGGTGGAATTTTAAGTTCTGACAAGGTGGTAGAGGACTGGGGGTTGGTTTTTTAGGTTAGTAACCCCTCTAACCTTTCCTCTGTTCCTTATAACTATAACACATAATCTCTTTTCCAGTAAAGCTAGCTCTGTTTTCAACAGACTACAAAGTATAGCTATCTGATCTGCCCTTAGCCCCATGTATCTTTGATCTATTTTCTTTCAGAGGTATCGCCTTCTCAAAAAGCAAGGAGGAACTGGCAAGGAGTTGAAAAGAATTCTTTTTTTTTCCCCTCCCAAACGAAAATGACCTAAGTTGCAAGGACTGGGTGATCTCAGTTTCTCTGGAAAGTACAGTGTTGTTTTTCATGGTTGGTAGTAAACAAAGAACAGAACACATCATTTGCAATACTTACCTAAAACAACCCTTCAGTTTATGACCTATTGTCCAAATTAATGGCAGCTTACAAGAGACCTATCTGTAGGTGGGGACCCTGAATATAATAAAGTGCAAGCATTCACAACTTCTATAAGAAGCATTAGCAGCTAAACAAGATCCAACCATTGCTGCCTTTGCACTAAGCATGAACATTCCCACTATCAAGTAGGGAGACATCATTTCAACAGTTTATAACATATGGTGTTCAAAAGTTACAAACCTGTAGCTTTAACATTTTAAAGTCAGTGCCTCAAAGTATAGAAGGTCTATAATCCAAAGAGATCAATAATATTACATATTATGTTAATATCTTGCCATTATTTGAACTACAAGTAGGTAACCAATGCAAAAAACTCAGAGAGATGGTGGGCTCAATTCTTTTTGGTGCCCTAGTAAAAGACAGCTATAGAACTCTTTGAAATTCTCATTTAAGCACTGCTTTGTCTTTTTGTATAAATTGGAAATTACCAAAGAAACACCAGTGATAAGGGGGTTAATATTAGTATCCTTATACCTAAGTCAAAACTGGACAGCTCAAAAAGATTTATAAGCTCTGCCCTCAGTTTGTGTCTTTTACATAGCTTCTTGTTTTTACATAGACACTTGGAATTTGTTATCTGTAAGAAAAGAATGAACTTATCCAAGGAACTGGTAGCCATGGCCTAAGGAACTAGCATGACAAAATGACTAAGCATGTTAATAACAATAATAATAATAATTGCACTTGCCATACATAGCACTTAATGTGTTGGGAATGGCTTTAAGCCCTCAATGTATATTAACTCATTTATTCCCTGCAATACCCTATAAGGTAATTATTATTCCCAATTTACAGAGGACAAATCTAAAGATCAGTGAGGTAAAATCTTTTTAACATTACATAGTTAGGAACTGCCAGAATTTGAAGGTAGGCACTCTGGCTCTGAAGCAACATTTATACCCACCTGAGTTCATTCAATTAGTTAATCAGTTATTAAGTCTTTAATCAAATATTTATCAAATATGCAGTATGTTCTTGGGCTCCAGGGCATACATAAATGAGTTAAACTATATATGGTACCTGCTCTTAGAGAATGTATAGCAGTAAACACAAACATGAATCAAATAATTACACAAACAAATGTAAAATTGCAATGTGACAGGTACACAAAGGAGGGAATGTATGATGGGAATGTATGAGAGTCAGTCAGGGAGATTGGGGGAAGTTTTGCTGAAGAACTGACACATGCACTAGATATGAAGGATAGGCAGACTTGAACTAGACAGGAAAAGGAAGAGATTTCAAGGCAGAGGAAACACCACATACAAATTCTCTGTTGTGAGTAGGAACAGGAAAAGTACTAGTAATTGAAGGAAGGCCAGTGACGGGCAATCAAAGAGAGCAAGAGTGAGAAGAGTTCAAGACAACACTCAAAGGGTTGGCAGGACCAGATCGGGCAGGAGTTTGGTAGGCTATGTTAGGCTATGTCTTTGTCTTATGATCTTCTCTGAGTCCTAAAAGGTTTTAAATAAGGGCAGGGGTGGTGGTGGAATTACTTGAATAGATTTGTATTTTAAAAGGATCACTTTAACTTTAATATTGACGGTGGGATGGAAGAGGATCAATGGGTATGACTAGATGAGTGAGAAGGTTGTTATAGTGGTCCAGGGTGAGACATGAAGGTAGTCTGGACTGGACTGATGGTGGTGATAAAGAGAAATGGATAGAGCCAAGCTGTAGTAGGCAGAAAAATCAATAGGCCTGTCTTGCAAAATTAGCTAAGTCAATTTGGTCACGCACAACTATTTTGTTCTTTTTGACAGATAAAAGTAGCCACCAATTTTTGACATAAGTGAAGGGGGTGGTTCCTCTGACATAGCTTTTTTACTAAGTCACAGTGCAAGCAAGTATTAGACCAAATTCCGTCATATAAACAGACATTTTAAAAAGTAATTAACAAGGAGGCTTACACGCAACAGTTCATACAATCTCTTCTATAAGTTCAATTAAGTTCCAGCTCTCTGTCCTTTTATGTACTATGATGTATTAGATATCTATTGCTACATAACAAATTACCTCAAAACCTAGTGACTTAAAGTAACAATAAATATTTATTACCTCATAGTTTCTGTAGATTAGGGATAAATCAAATTGGCTGGGTAGTTTTTGTTCGGGGTCTCTCATGAGTCAAGATGTTGGCTGGGGCTGTTGTTACCCAAAGGCTTGACTAGGCCTGGAGAATCTACTTCTAAGATGAGTCGCTCACAAAGCTGGCAAGTTAGTTGACTACCAGCAGGAGACCTGAGTTCCTCCCCACATGGATCTCTCCGTAACAGCTTCACAGCATGGTGGCTGACTTCCTTCAGAATAGATAAACCAAGAGAGAAAAATGCAGGGTCTGCAATATCTTTTAAGACTTATCCTTGGATGGCACTGTCTTCATTTCCAGAATATCTTATTCACACGTCATCTCTATTCAGTGTGGGGGAACTACAGAAAGGGATAAATACTAAGAATCATTGGTATTAAGGGCATTAAGGATCAGTTTGAAGACTGGCTACCATCTATGACTACAACATGCATGAAAGGTTCACTTAAGGTAGAGGCAGTAATGTTTAGAGACAGGATTCAGGCAACCAGAGTCCAATGAAACAATAGCTGGATACAGGACATTTTAGGGATCAAATATTGGTACCTTTCCTAAAGATACAGATTACGGTGCTTGCTAGATTTTTATACCCTATTCAGCAAAAGTGGAATGTCTAAAATATATTAGCCAATCCATATAACTTGAACAACACTAATTTCACCAATGAAAACTGATTGCTAATATTTATTATGCTAATTAGCAAAATTCTGGTGTTGGTTGAGATAAGGATGACTAAAGCACTTGTCGTAGCTTCCTCTGGAGTGTGGCCTTATGGCTAAATATCAGCTGACCATACCTGGGAGTGTGAGCTCCTAATTAGGGCAAGCAACAGCACTTATGATGTAGCCTAAATTAACACACATATATATTCACACATAATATCACATTATCCATGCTCAATTTTTTTAAAGTAAATTAGAGACATCATAATGCCATCATGATTTAGAAGATGCAGCCCATGAAAAGAGTAACTATCTTGGCCAATGACAGTTACTGAATGGGACTGCTCATATTAGATAGAGTAACTTACAATGGAGATTACTGAATGGTCATTAGCAAAGCATTTCTGGGATTGGGGCATGTTGCAGAAAACACCTATATTGATTTTCATTTTTTTTTTTTTTTTTTTGGCAGTACGCGGGCCTCTCACTGTTGTGGCCTATCCCGTTGCGGAGCACAGGCTCCGGACACACAGGCTCAGCGGCCATGGCTCACGGGCCCAGCCACTCCGCGGCATGTGGGATCTTCCCAGACCGGGGCACAAACCCGTGTCCCCTGCATCGGCAGGTGGACTCTCAACCACTGTGCCACCAGAGAAGCCCTGATTTTCATTTTTGAAGGCAAAGCATTTAAGATTATATTATAGGGTTATTTTGGGAATTACATGAGTTAATAATTTCAGAGCACTTAAGACGTGCCTGGCACATAGTAAAATTGTCTGTAAATATGATAGTGATGATGGTGGTGGTGATCATCCAACAGATAGATAATGCCTCATCATGATTATCAGGTGTACTGGACACTGGGGTAGATTCCACTGACACCACATTCCTCTTCAGGACTTGTTTGCCCAGCTGCTGGGAATGCTGTGGCTCACAGCTGTCAAGATGTCAGCTCCATCCAGAAATTGCCTTACCCAAGGTCACACCTACTTCCTGGGAGCAGTCTTTATCCAATGACTGATCATTGATGGGTATACAAGGGCCCAGTACCCTTGTCTCAACTTGGAACACTTCTGAAGGGCCACCCTAGCTTCAGAGCCACGCTTAGGGTAGGGTTGGTTTAGGCTTTGTTATAACTATTTCACAGCCCGGCTTCTCCTCTATCCAATCCTGCATTTCACCACAAGTATTAATTCCAAGACAACCCCCTAATAAGTTTTCCTGCATGCAAATCTCTATCTCAGGGTCTGCTTCCCAGGGAACATGACTAGAAACATCAATGGTTATTTAATGAATTAAAATACTGCATAAACAAATGTATCCTTCTTTATTGGTTGGTAATGATTAGCACAGGGTGTAAGTTTGAGATATAGGTATATATAATTTAAAATATTGTTCATTTAGATTCAAAATTTGAGATCTTAAGTTGGTGGTAGAGACTAATAGAATAGGTTATTAATTAAAATGCTAATTATATTAAATATTATTGGAAAAGCTGTAACATATAACTATCATCTGACTATGGAAAACACAAAAGGCCATGAAAACCTTTAACATAGGCAAAGTTAGTATACAGATTTTATTTGTCAGGTTAGGCTAGGGAATGCTGCCGTAATAAACTATGCCAAAATTTCAGAGGCTTATCACATAAAAGTTTCTTACTCAGGCAAATCTGCTAAGAGTCCAGGAGTTTCTCCAGGGCGGCCCTTCATGTAGTGGCTCAACATTCCAGATTGCTTCCTTCTTCTGGTAACTCCATCTGAATGATACCTCAGGGTTCTCTGTGCCAGGAAAGACAGCATGGTGAATCATGCACAGACTTGTAAATGCTTTGGTCTGGAAGTAACACATCAGCTCGGGTCACTGTTCATTAGTAGAACTAGTTACACAGTGCTGCTTAACTTGTAGAGCTAAGAAATGTAAGCTTTGCATATCCAGAGAAAAAAAGAGAATTGAAAATATTGAGCATTGGTAATGTTAGCCACAAGAACAGTATTATACTGTCTGAGAGACACTAATATTTTAGTATTTGTAAGGATCAACTTATAAGAGAAATTCACTTTTGGGACAAACTCTGTGTAGATCTTATCCTAGGATAGGAATTAATTTTAAGCTTCTGTGTTTATTATGCAATTTGATTGGATGTAAATTTAGTTCAGTATAAATAGAATCAGCAGCTAAAGTAGAACCTGGCAAGGTGTGGACAATCTCTTAAGTCATATGATAAATAAAATATAGATCACATTTGAGTGAGCTGTGAAAATTTATATAAAAATATTTTCCAGGGGCTTCCTTAAAAATGGGATAGTAAAATTTAAAAATAAGAATAAAATATCAATAAAAGTGAGCTTTACCTGAATTTACTTTCACATTTGACCATTTATTCCTTTAAAGAAAAAGAATAAAATTACTGTTAAGTAAATACACCTTACACCCTATTTCTACAGCACTCTTCAATAAAAAAGTTTCATATGAAAAACATTCTATATTATTGATTATAAGACAGTCCAAAGCTAAACATAAAAAGTCAATGTAAACAAAAAAGTGAATAATGAAAATTTTCTTGCTTTCCAGAACCTTGAAGATAAATGTAATTTTTTTTTGGTGTATAGTTCTATAAAATTTTATCGCATGTAATAGATTAATGTAGTGATCACCACAATTAGGATATGAAATTATTAATTATTCCATTACCCCAAAGTAACTTCCTCATGTTATCCTTTTATAGTCATACCCTCCCCCCAACCCTAACTCCTTGCACCACTTATTTTTTCTCTATCACTATAATTTTGCCATTTTGAGAATGTTATGTAAATGGAATCATACCATATGTAACTTTTTGAGATTAGTTTCTCATCAACACAGTGGCCTTGAGATCCATGCAAATTGTTGCATGTATCAAATTAGTTCCTTTTTATTGCTGAGTAGTATTCCATGTTATGGATGTACTACAGTTTATTCATTCATCCATTGGAGGGTATTGGGTTGTTTCATTTTTGGCTATCACAGATAAAGCTGATTTGAACATTTATGTACAGATTTTTGAGTGAATGTAAGTTTTCATTTCTCTAGAGTAAATATCCAGTAGATGGATATCTGGGTTTTACGATAAGTATATATTTAACTTTATAAAAAACTACCAACTGTTTTCTAGAGTGGCTGTCCCATTTTACATTTTCCTCAGCAAAGTATGAGAGATACAGTTGCTCCATATCTTTTCAGCACTTGGTATTATCAGTATTTTTTTATTTTAGCCATTCTAATAGGTGTGTAGTGGTACTTCATTGTGGTGTTAACTTGCATTTTCCTAATGGCCAATGATGTTGAACTATAACAAAATCTTACATAAAGTTTTGCATTTTTACAAATACTTTTTTAAACATCTAAATTAATTCTCACAAGTATAGTGTGATGTATTTCAAGTGATTAGAGGCTGATATCAAGTAAATCTGGAAAAATCAGCCAACCGTAATTACACCAATGCAGAATCAAAACAATTTAAAACTCAAAAGGAACATGGAGGTAATTTAGTCAAACTTCCCCATTTTAGAGAACTGTGTCCCAGAAAGGTTAAATGACTTCTCACACAGCTGGAATCATACCAAAAGTCATACTTCTGATGCTTGAATCTCTTCTATGTCCAGTCAAGTAGGTGACAATTTATGCTTGAATTCTTCAAGTGACTGGAAATTCACTCATTCCTTGCCCCATTCCATTAGAAAGTGTTTCCTGACATTGAGCTGAAATGGCCTATAAACAAATAAACAAGTCTGTAAATGTTTTGACATTGAACTGAAATGGCTTACTATAGCTCTTGCCAGTGGGTCTAGTTTCATCCTCTGAGACTTTCCTGAGGAAGCATGGACCCTTTTCCATACGACAGTACTTCAGATACTTGAAGACAGCCATCATGCTCTCACATATATACTCCAGGTCAAACATTCACATTTTCCTCCAATCATTCTTAGATGAGCTTGTTTACCATCCTTCTTGCTTGTATGTAAACTGGTCCTAGGTTTCTTATGGTGAAAAATACCAAACAAAATATTTTTTGTAACACAACCAGAATTATATACATTCTCCAGTTATATGAATTCACTACAGGAAATAATAAAATTTTATTTTCCCTTAGTGTATTTCCTTACGTCGTTAGACAATATTCGTAAGTGTATTTTTAAAATTTTATGCTGAATACTTTTATTTTTAAATTGCGTTTCTTTTTTGGATGTATTGCAATGCAAATGGCACAAAACTCAAACCATTTAAGAAGGTTAACAGTGAAAAGTCATGATCCCTAGACTTCTAGTTGAATAATAATATAATATAATAAATATATATAATGCAATGTAATATAATATTGCAGATATCCTCTTTTTAAGCACATAATTCTGATTATACATTCCATCATATGGTTGTACATTTAAAAAAATTATTCATCTTAATTTTTTATTAGTATTATTAAAACTGCTGTTATGGATTGCCTTATGTATATTTTAGATTATTTCTTAAAGTAGACTCCTAGAAGAAAATAGCTGCATTGCATAGTATGACTTGTCTTACTATAACTTTCCACAGTTACCATTTAATACACATAAAATGTTTATTAATATACACCGGCAGTTTATGCATCCATTTCACCACACCTCTGCAAGCTTGGAATACTACTGTTTATTGATTTTTTTTTTCAAATTTGTTCTCCTGATTTGCTTATAATTGAGAATGAATTTTAAAATACGTTTTTATATCTCTTGGTTATTTGTATTTCCTCCTTAGGGTGTTTAAGTCCTTGTTAATTTTTAGAAGATCGATTTGTATGAGCTAGAATATCAGCCCACTCTCAATATTCTTAACAAATATTATTTTGTTCAGCTTATCAAACTCTTAAAGGCGTTTTACATATGCTAATGCCAGGCCATCCCAAACAATTAAATGTAGTTAATTAAAAATTTTTTTGCTAAATATAAGGCCTTACAGTGAACATTTATATTGTAATATATCTTATCTCTTTACAAGTCTGTTTCACCTACCATATTTTAAACTAGTGCAATTCAAGGACAATACCTTAATCATCTTTCTAAAGCTTAACATAGACATTTACAGAGAATAGATGTTCCCTAAATTTATGATATATAAATGAGTGAATAAACTTAAAAATCCCTATTAGTTTGTTGGATTCTGCTTGTATGGTTACAGATTCCCCAAATTTTTTGAATTCTAATTATGGCTATCTAGGATTTAGCCCAGAGTCAACATTAAGCTGTTCTAAGGTTTGTTAAACCCCCTACCCTTTCCAACTTCGAATCAGGTAAAAATTTGATAAATATGGGTTTTCTCAAGTCAGTGAAATACAGTGTTGACCCATATAGGGACCGTTGTTCTACCCTAAAAACCACTGGAGAGGCTGACTGCCCTCCAGGAGTCAGTACCCGTTGGGTATTAAGTCATTGCCTGAAGGTACTATCATCTAGCCTTTTTTCCTCCCCAATTTACTTGTAAGTAAATGATGAAAAGTGTCAATAATGCCTGTTGGGCACAGATAAATATTGTCTACTGCATTTTATTGGCATACTGGTCTAGTATCCCTGTCAGGAAGAAAATAAAATTAGACAGATTCTGGTTGGTAAACCCATACTGTATTTGATTGATTACTGCTTTCTCTTATAGATGCTCCCAGAGCATCCTTTTAATAATTCCTTTTAGATTCTTGCCTAAAATCAAAGTAGTCCTGGTGGAGGGTTAGAGGTGTAAGGGACTCTCAATTGAATGATTAAAGTCCCAATCAAGTAAAGATTGAAGGGAAGGTTTCCAAATGATATGGATTTCCATTCTATATCACTGGAACCCCTTTAGTTGTCCATGATCTTTTCTCTGATTCTGAGTGTTTGAGACTGCCAGGGACTAATGAAAAAGTACCTTTTCCTATGGGTAGTTTGGATAGGATTGCAAAAACTATTGGCATACAGACAGCTGTTACTCCTGCTACAGATCAAGGGAGTGGGGAGTGAAAAGCATTTGTCAGTCAAACAGAAACTCTTTTTGATGATATGAAATACTCTTTGAGGGAACTCTGAATATTAGATTGGCTGCCACATGGCTTTCTGGTTCTGGCAGTGCATGGTAACCCTGTCAGGTGTCTTCTAAACTCTAACAATCTCTGTCAAAGCAAAGACTGTGGGGTCTGTAATTTGCTAACTCCACCCTGGTTCACATATTTCCTCCAAGGAGTCCTTCAGACCTTCTTCACCCTCCACCATCCATTTCACAATCCCCCATTCCCTTCAACCCAGGGAAGTCTAATCTTGAAATTCTCTTTAAAATCTGTGTATTAACTTCATAGGGCTGCTGTAACAAATTACCACAAACTGGTGGCTTAAAACAACAGAAATGTATTCTCTTACAGTTCTGAGGCCAGAAGTCTGAAATTAAGGCGTCAGCAGGGCCGCAGTTTTGGAGGACCTAGGGGAGAATCTGATTTTTGTTTCCCCCGGCGTCTGGTAGAGCTGGTCAGTATTCCTTCACTTGTGGCTGTATTACTCCAATCTTAGCCTCGTTGTCACACTGCCTCCTCTTCTCTGTCTTCTCTTCAGTCTGTCACATAAAGATACTTGTCATTGGATTTATGGCTGAGCAGACAATCCAGGGTGGTTGATCTCTTCACCTCCAGATCCTTAACTTAATTACATCTGCAAAGACCCTTTTTTCAAATAAGGTAACATTCACACATTCCAGGGATTGAGACATAGACATATCTTTTTGGGTGCTACTATTCAACCCACTACATTTTGCTTAAGCATACCATTTTTTCCTTCTTCTTTTAAGCTTTACCTCTTGAAGCTTTGAGGAAATTCAAGAAACCTCTTCTTTCTTCATCACCTTAGCTTTCAAGACTGCATCTTCACATTGAGCACTTTGGAAAATTCAATCTACTCCTTTGTTTCAGTTGCTTTTTTTTTTCTGGAATTTCCCCTTCCCTGGGCAAATGAATATTACACCAGTGGGAGGAAACATCCCAAATAATTCCGGGTTTTATATTTCCACTTTTCACCTTGAAGGCAGACATTTGCCCATGTTTAGTGTTCTAGCACCTATTCTGTTTCCCATAATTCCTCAAAGATGGCAACAGCTATTCTCAAGTTTCATTTGGACTCCCTGCCCCTCCACCGCCAAGAGCCTGTGATATAAGCCATTCATATCAGATGATGGATTCTAAATTGGAACTGTTAGGTACTTCTTAGAATTCCTTCTTCTATTTGGGAAGAGTATTGCTTCTTGTCACTATTTATACTACTCTTTTGAGTAATATTAATAAGTTCCTATTTACTGAGTCACTACTATGAGCCTGGCTCAGTGTTTTGAATGTGTTACTTCCACTACTCAGAACAATCCTATGAGAAAGATATACTTATCTCCATTTTACAGATGGGGAAAAGGAGACCCAGGGTAATATAACTATTAAGTGTTGAAACAGAGAATTAAATCCAAGTTTGCCTGACCCCACAAATACACATAGTTCTTTCTACTATGTCAAGCTGCTTCTCAAGTTTCCTTTGTAGAGAATGAAGAAAATAATATTTAGGGACTCTGTTTTCTCTCTCAGATCTAACCTTATACCAGCAGCTGTAAGTGGGCTTTTCCCTTCCTTCATCATCTGCCTTTGAAGAGAATTTTAAAAAGCCCGTTCTTTGTCCTCTCAGCATTTTTTACAAGTCTCACCTCATTTGGGAGCTTCAGATTTCTTGACTATGCTTTAAGGCCCATGTTACCTTCTTATAATTATCCTTGGTATGTGGTTGTTTTCTCTCAAGGTTTATGTCACTTCCAATTAGCCAAGCAATTCCTCCTTGTTGGTCAGAATTAGGTTCCCTAGTTGCTCTGCTGGGACATCAAATCATGAGAAAGGCAAATCAAAAACTTGTCAGATGTTTTGCTTTTAGCCCAATGAAACTTTTAGGAGGTGTCCAGCTATTTGAATTTTCTTTTTTGATTGTTGCATTGCTACATGTATTGACAAATAGTATACTGTAGGGTATTGTGGTATCAATAATGAATTCTTTTATGAATAATTGCATGTGACAGTACATGTTTGGAACCAGTTTAAAACCTCTTAAATAAAACACTCTAAAGCAGTTCCAAGCTTCCCATTGTCTGTGTGTACACCTAGTCATTCTAACACATTCCTGTTTCTCATTCCCCATTCAAGTCTATCACATGGAGAAATATTTTTTATTTCTAGTAAACTAGTTTGTGTATCTCATTTTGAGCATAATCCCAAACCAGAAAGTGGAAGATAGGCTGGGGAATATGACCTCTCTGAAGTAAAACATATGTTAGGAAGTCTATGAATTAAGGTCACAAAACAGAGGGCTGTGAATTTCTATGAAAAAAATATTATAACCTAATTTTTGCTAACCTCTAAGTGAAATTTAGCATTTCTTTCAATTGTGAACATAGGCAACAAACCAGTGTTACTGAAGTATCGCTGACTTTTTCACCAATAAAAATCACAAATATTTTCCCATCACATTACTATAGTTGTAGAAATCTCAAGATATAATTAGTGTTCACTACTTTAAAATTATAGATATTATTCGACCCTCTGCTAGATTTTGTTTTTCAACGCATTAATAAAGAAGCACATGTACAGCACACTTTTGTTGAATAACTTGATTACTGTATTTTAGTATAATTGGTTTCATTCATGATCCTATGCATATTTTATGCATTTAAAAACATGATTCTAAAAAGGGCTTTATAGGCTTCACCAGACTGCCAAAGGGATCCGTAGCACAAAAAATGATTAAGAATATCTATTATGGATTCTGGCATTGCGTTAAGAGCATGTAGTCTGGTGTCACATTGCTTAGGTTCAAATTCTGCTCTGTCATGGTATGACTTTGGCTACGTTACACATACATTTTGTGCCTCAGATTCTTCATGTGTAAAATGAAGATAATATTATAATACCTACCCAAAAATCTTGCTATGAAGATGAAGTAATATCTGTAAATGGCTTAACACAATGCCAGGCATATAGTACGTTATTTATCTCTACATATACCCAGACGATAAGGGTTTCATTCAAATCCTATTTACATTTATTCTACATACAGATTTTCTTTTTTTTAACCATGTTGTCACTGTCTAAAATTACATTATAAAATATTGGCTGTTTTCAAATGGATATTTGTAAAATACATGTGTGATGTAAGGAAGAATTATACAGTGAAGATCCATAGGCCTTCCATCCCGTTAAAGGGAAAAAAGATACTTTAAAAAGGATGAACATTCAATTTACTATCCAAACTAGGACACTTTTGAGAGTAAAAGAGAGTGCTATTAGTTATTACACCAGGGATATAGGCAAACCAGGACTGTTCTGACTAAATTAACACGTATAATCACACTACTTTTATGTTTCTTGTGTTCCCCTGCCTTAGTCCATTCCCTTCTTTCTGCAGCTAGAGAAGATCACTATCTTGATTTTGTGGTTACGATCCTGTTGCTTTATAGATTTACTTCTTATGTTTGGTCTCTTAAACAAAATATTGTTTACTTTTACTGCTTCTTTAATTTATAGAAGTGAAATCCTACTGTACTGTTCTTTTGTGAATTGCTTTTCTGCTCAGTGTTGTTAGAGATTCATCCATGTCCATGGATTTGTGATTCATTTTTCCCACTGTTGTATTCTACTGTATGAGTATACGTAATATATTTAACCACTCTACTGTTGATAGACAGTTGGGTTGTTTCCAATTTTTACTGTTATGAATAATACTATTAGGAATTTTCTTTCTCATATATCCTGATACACATTTCTCCTGGGCCATAAGAGACATGCAACTTCAAGTTTACTAGATAATGCCAAATTGTTTTCCAAATGGATATATCAGTTTATACTCCAACCAGTAACGTATAAGTGTTCTGGTGATATTGTCAGACTTAAAAATTTTTGCTTATGTGGTGGGTGTGAAATGATATTCAGCATGTGGTTGAACATCTCTTCGGGTTTCCTCCTTTATGAATTATGAATTACCTATTACCTATGAATTACCTATTTATAGGTAATAGGTAATTATGAATTACCTATTTATAGTGTGGTAGTTAAGAGCATTATCTATTTTTAAAAATATTTAAATTGTAGTAATTCTTTACACAATTATTATTACAAGTATTAATCCCTTTGCCAATAATATGGGTTGTAAAGATCTCCCAGTTTGTATCTTGTCTTCTACTCTCCTTATGATGTCTTTTTTTCTTTTTTTTACTTTTTATTATGGAAAATTTTAAACATACATTAAAGTATAAAAATATGCAGAATAGAATAATGAGCTCTGATTTACCTATCACCCAGCTTCAGGATTATCAACTCATAACCAATTCAGCTTCATTTATACTACCACTCACTTTCTCCATCTCTTAGTATTTTAAAGTATATCCCAGACATTATATCATTACATCTCTAAATATTTCAATATGCATCTCTAAAAAATAGGGATCTTTAAAAATTACTATTATAAACACACAAAAAAATTTACAATACTTCCCCAATATCATCAAATATTCAATAAGCATCCAAATTTCCAATCATCTTAAGCGTGTGTGTGTGTTTTAAAGTTTGAATCATGATCCAGATAAAGTCTTGTGGTAGCAGGCCTCCAAAATGGTACCCAATGATTCCTACTCCCTGGTATGTACACGCTTGTGTAATCTCCTATGTGTGATCAACCTGTGGGTCACATATCTGTGTAATGGTATGTCACCTTTTTTTTTAATGTTTTTTTGATATTCACATTGTTGATAACAAATCATATCAAGCATTTTTTTAAACTTTTAATTTTATATTGGAGTATAGCTGATTAACAATGTTGTGATAGTTTCGGGTGCACAGCAAAGTGACTCAACCATATATATACATGCACCCATTCTCCCCCAGACTCCCCTCCCATCCAGGATGCCACATAACATTGAGCAGAGTTCCCTGTGCTATACAGTAGATGCTTGCTGGTTATCCTTTTTATTTTTTTTTCTTTATATATTTTTTGAATTTTTGAATTTTATTTATTTTTTTTATACAGCAGGTTCTTATTAGTTATCCATTTTATACATATTAGTGTATACATGTCAATCCCAATCTCCTAATTCATCCCACCACTACCACCACCCCTGCCACTTTCCCCCCTTTGTGTCCATACATTTGTTCACTACATCTGTGTCTCTATATCTGCCCTGCAAACTGGTTCATCTGTACCATTTTTCTAGGTTCCACATATATGTGTTAATATATGCTATTTGTTTATCTCTTTCCGACTTACTTTACTCTGTATGACAGTCTCTAGATCCATCCACGTCTCTACAAATGACCCAATTTCATTCCTTTTTACGGCTGAGTAATATTCCATTGTATATATGTGCCACATCTTCTTTATCCATTCATCTGTCGATGGACACTTAGGTTGCTTCCCTGTCCTGGCTATTATAAATAGTGCTGCAATGAACATTGGGGTGCATGTGTTTTTTTGAATTGTGGTTTTCTCTGGGTATATGCCCAGTAGTGGGATTGCTGGGTCATATGGTAATTCTACTTTTAGCTTTTTAAGGAACCTCCATACTGTTCTCCATAGAGGCTGTATCAATTTACATTCCCACCAACAGTGCAAGAGGGTTCCCTTTACTCCACACCCTCTCCAGCATTTGTTGTTTGTAGACTTTCTGATGATACCCATTCTAACTGGTGTGAGGTGATACCTCATTGTAGTTCTGATTTGCATTTCTCTAATTATTAGTTATGTTGAGCAGCTTCTCATGTGCTTCTTGCCCATCTGTATATCTTCTTTGGAGAAATGTCTATTTGGTCTTCTGCCCATTTTTGGATTGGGTTGTTTGTTTTTTTAGTATTGAGCTGCATGAGCTGTTTACATATTTTGGAGATTAATCCTTTGTCCATTGATTCGTTTGCAAATATTTTCTCCCATTCTGAGGGTTGTCTTTTCATCTTGTTTGTAGTTTCCTTTGCTGTGCAAAAGCTTTTAAGTTTCATTAGGTCTCATTTGTTTATTTTTGTTTTTATTTCCATTTCTCTAGGAGGTGGATCAAAAAAGATCTTGCTGTGATTTATGTCAAAGAGTGTTCTTCCTGTGTTAACCTCTAAGAGTTTGATAGTGTCTGGTCTTATATTTAGGTCTCTAATCCATTTTGAGTTTATTTTTGTGTATGGTGTTAGGGAGTGTTCTACTTTCATTCTTTTACATGTAGCTGTCCAGTTTTCCCAGCACCACCTATTGAAGAGACTCTCTTTTCTCCATTGTATATCCTTGCCTCCTTTGTCATAGATTAGTTGACCATACGTGTGTGGGTTTATCTCTGGGCTTTCTATCCTTTTCCATTGATCTATATTTCTGTTTGCATGCCAGTACAATATTGTCTTGATTACTATGGCTTTGTAGTATAGTCTGAAGTCCGGGAACCTGATTCCTCCAGCTCCGTTTTTTTCCCTCAAGACTGCTTTGGGTATTCGGGGTCTTTTGTGTCTCCATAGAAATTTTAAGAGTTTTTGTTCTAGTTCTGTAAAAAATGCCATTGGTAATTTGATAGGGATTGCATTGAATCTTTAGATTGCTTTGGGTAGTATAGTCATTTTCACAATATTGATTCTTCCAATCCAAGAACATGGTATATCTCTCCATCTGTTTGTATCATCTTTAATTTCTTTCATCAGTGTTTTAGAGTTTTCTGCATACAGGTCTTTTGTCTCCCTAGGTAGGGTTATCCCTAGGTATTTTATTCTTTTTGTTGCAATGGTAAATGGGAGTGTTTCCTTAATTTCTCTTTCAGATTTTTCATCATTAGTGTATAGGAATGGAAGAGATTTCTGTGCA